GTGTAGAAAAAGAACAAGGAGACTGCCATTTCTGTAGTGCTAGCTACAGGAACTGTGTTGATTGTAAATACATATGAACTAAATCAATTTCAAATATCAACTCAGATCATTTTCTTTGTTTTATAAAAAGATCGTACACTTCACCTTTGCTGTTGACATGTTCTACAGCTAAACATCTATAGTCATTTTTGTAATGGTTGCATCATGTCGTATGGGTTTGTCCATGTGCCTTTCATTTGTTCATTTCTCTTCGACTTGTCATTGGACAACAGATGAATGTTATCCTTTGAGGCTAAATCTGGGATATTTCCTTAAACATAATGTGATGTATCCAAGAAAAAGCGTTTTAATTAACTATTGACAGCTTGCAGTAGAAGTGTTGGAAACTACTGCTCTGAATGCTTTTTTTCTCTAACTTCTATTTTAAAATGAAATCAAAATCATCTAAAATTGGCAATCGGGCTTCAAAATAAAATTTGAAATTGGAAACAAAATTCTGACTGGTGCATCGCTATTTCTTATCCTACAGAACTTTAACCTAATTTTCATCAGCTAATCCTAATTATTCTAACTTTTTTTTCTCACTTTCGGCTTCTATGTTCTGTTATTCCAAAGGTCTAAAACCTGCATGGCTCTGATGGTCCCTCTCCCCTGTGTGCTTACCTTTTGGAGTGCTGCAGTCGGCTAGATCCGTGCTTCCATTCTTCTCCTGGCTCCCCTCGGTCACATGCATGAGAAGTCTCCGTTTGACCTTAGATAACCCCGCCTGATCCTCACGCCCGCTCTCCAGACTGTGACTACCCTGTGAGCAGCTAATGGACCCTGATCCTTCCTGGAACCAAAGGGGCGATGGTGTGTCCACATCATAGGATCGATTGAGAGATGGTGAGGGGACAGGGCCCTCGGATTCAGATGTTATATTTCCCTTTCTTTCCTGAAGATGGGGACCCCGACAGGAAATGTCACAAGCAGGAAAGTTAAGAGAAGTAGCATTTCGAAAAATACTGGGTACTCTCATCTGCTGTGCTACAGATAGTCTACTTGTGGAAGGTAGCTGCACCTTTCTGCGGATGCCCTGCTGTGGATAACTATTGCTTCCTCCTTCTGGATGTTTGCATTGTTTAAGGATTTCAGACATTTTCTGTGAACCTCTGGGGGAAACATCGTCTCTGCTATACGTCCTTGGTTCAGGTCTCGCATTAATATCAATGTTCTTAAACTGAATGAATGATTGTCTTTGCTTTAGCTCATCGACTTCATCGTCTTCTCCATCAGCAGCCCCCTGTGTGTCCTCCAAACAGCCGGTGGATTTATCTGGACCATCTTTTTCAATTTGGCTTAAGTCCTTGCTGCTTACAGAGTTCTCCTCCGTGCTGCTGTCATGTCGGCTCTGATTGTCAAAGTTCTCTTTCACCGTGGACTCCAAATCTGAGATCAGCACCTTCAGGCTGCACAGGTTGGACTCCAGTTGATTGATTTGCAGGGAGTTTTTAGTAAAAACGCTTGTGGCATCTTCAAAATCCATTTGATTCACAGCAGAGGAAGCCGCTGTCAGGCTGCGCTGATCCAGCTTAAGGTCCTCGACTCTGATTTGACTAAAGTCAGAACTGGAATCCAATTTGGGTTCTGTCCATCCTGCAGGGTCGACTGCTTTACTTTTGAAGAAAACAGGACTCAGACAGAAGCGTGGGGCTGGAACAGAGCGGTATTTCCCAACTCCTCCATCAAAAGATGAGAGACAGGGAGTCTCAGTGAAAGTTAACCCTGACCCAGGCTGCTGTTGGATAGAAACGCTGATCTGTTTAGGTATCATTAGGACCTCTGGAGAACGGTTACGCTTATTGTTCAAGGAGATTTCTTCTTCAAAGCTTAAACGTTTTTTCCCATCTTCTGCTATATTTGGGGCTTCCGGATTGGCTTCCCAGGATTTCTTTTGTGGCTCTGACGGGATGAAAGCACCTCTCTTCACATTAGTTTTCTTCCCCTCTACAATCTCATTGCCCTTGTGATGTAACTCCTCATTCTCTTTATCAGAGAGGCTTGACTCCTCCACCTGAACTCTTTGCTGCTCCTGGTGGGTTTTTGAGGTTTTGGTTTGGTTCCTCAGCATCCGCTGGCACCGCAAATACTCCTGAGACTTCTTTAGCAAGGACTGGAGGCTTAGAGGACGAATCTCATCAGATTGATTTAGGTCCGTGACATGGATCTGATTTTTGACAGTTTCTTCTTTGCTGGGGGCTTTCTGAACGCTGATTTCGTCTGTCAGATTTAATGGCTGCTGTAAATCTGGATTGTCTGACAGAGAGAGGGCGTCGTCATCTCTTTGTGAGGTGTTAATCTTGACAGGGTCTAGATTGGCCATAAAAGGGTCGTAGATCTCTTCCTTCCGACTGTGTGGATGACTGAGTCCAGGTTCTTCAGCTCTCAAAGAGTCACATCTCACTGATCCATTGTAAAAAGACATGCTACAGACATTTTCTGCTCCCGTTGCATCACTGCATAAGAAAGATCCCAGTCCAGCTCTCTCCAATTCCTCTCCATCTATTGGAGGATGGTTGATAATATCAGGCATCTTGGCAATTGTATTTGTGGAGCTGTAAAGGAAAAACCCGCCTGTGTTGTCCATTTCTTTAACAGTCCTGAAGTCAGTTTTACCAGATGTGGTGGTGTCACTGTCCTTTTTCTCACAAGTCACATAACCTGAAGACAGTGACTGGTGGCCTGCATTAGAGGAACATGGTTGTGATCGTGGTGGGCTGCCCAGTTGGTCAGCAAGGTATTCATTGTAGTTCATTTGCTGAGGTGACACATTTGAAGGAAAAAAGGCACTGTGCGCTGTGGAGGTCTTTGGAGGGATAAAGATGCTATGCTTTAACTTCCTGACTGGTGCGGGTGAAAGACTATCCCTGGTTGCATTAGAAACATCACTGCAGGACACAGAGAACCTGCCGGTGTTATGTGAGAATGAAGATTCGTCTTTAATCTCCGCTTCTTGGAGGAATTCCTGCAGTGTCGGCACGTTTTTTAGCTGCACAGAGAAAAGAGAAAAAAAAAAATACAGTAACAATGTAAAAATAATAGAACCACCGACTAGAGTTGGTGACCAGGTGATCTCTGGTTTTGTACAGGTTTAATCTGTCAATACAGTCTTGAGGCAATGCTGATTTCTCTTAAAGTTGTAGGAAAATGGCTGTTCCAAAGGTTGCATTTCCGAATTTTCAGGAGTGGTGCCCGACTTTACACAAGTGAATAAAGTGAACGTGATTGGTCGTCTTTAAAGGGGGCTGGATTGTTGCGGTGGAAGATTCACAAGCAAGTTTGGTTGTGGCCGGTTTGTTGGAAGCATCTTGCTAACCAGTTAGCAACTTAGTGCTAGTAGGTTCCCAATGGGAAATTACATTGGGACCAAGTAGCACTAAATTGGTGACTTAGAAACGACACTGTCAAGGAACGCTATGGACAGTGGAAACATGCAAGAGGAGGAGAGTTTTGTGTCGAGGATGCCAGGGCAGCAGAAGCTTGGTTTGGTGTAGGTATTTGGTATTGGGGCCA